TTTACTTGGGATCTAGCATCTCCTTTCTCTGTGTTACTGAACTTGGGTGATTAAGATTCTCAAGTGTTTTAACTGTTGTGCAGGACTGGCTATTGGAGTGCTTAATCTTGCAATTGTTGTTCCACAGGTAGTTAGGATGCGTTATTCCTGTTTTATCCCTATTTAGTTTAGCACAATTATGTAATGCCGCAACTTATTCTCTGTTTGATTTTTTCTTTCTTTTGTGATCACTTCGGTCAGTTCATAGTTTTTTTTTTTCTTTTAATTTGATGATGAGTGCTGATTTCATGTGAATTTTGTTGGATTGTTCAGATGATTGTGTCTCTTGGTGCGGGGCCATGGGATGCTTTATTTGGGGGAGGAAATATACCTGCCTTTGTCTTGGCTTCCTTTGCTGCCCTTGCTGGTGGCGTTTTTGCAGTTCGCAGGCTACCAAACCTTTCGAGCAATTCTTTCAAGTCAACTGGTTTTCATTTTGGCTAATGACAAAAGCAGCTCACCTGTTTGGCAAATGACAAGAGGAGCACATCAGATGATGACCACCCCCGGCCCCGTATATGATTCATACCAACCATACAGGAGGATTTGCTCTCTGAGGGATGGCTCTGGCATTTTGCGTATGTTCACTTAACCAACAGAATTACCCCTTCCATATTCAAATTCATTCATTTTTTTTCCCCACTTCTTGTGGGTATCTGTATTCTGTACCCTATGTAGAGTGTATATTGTCAGTTACATGGAAAAGGATATACATGCATATAATGCTAAAGTTTAATGGCCACTATAAAAAAAATTGTTCATTCCTGCGTAGTCGTTGTCATACTAGAACTGATTTAAGTATCAACATATTTTAGCTTACTGGTTTAGGGGCTCTTAGCCATTTTCAAAATTGTATATAATTTCATGTGGCTGGTTGTTTTTAAATTTTGGGGTATATTATTTAAACCCAGTTCCGCTCATGCGCTTAAACTATTATGTCAAGTTAACGAAATTAGTTGTTGATATATTGTCAACACGTTCCGGATTATACAATTGTTGATATATTGTCGCTCTCAGCCTCTCTTACTTTGCAGTTTACGTTCTGCTGTTTTTGGACAATTTGGGACATTGCAGGAAGCTCTGTTTAAATACTTTTGTCATGACATTTTTATGAATTCCTTTTATAAACATGGCCTATGGCTGGCTATGGGTTCCATTGGTACCCAATATTGCTATAAATTAGAATAAAATAGAGCATTTTTCATAAGTAGCACTAATTGTTTCCAAAGAGGTACCATTTGATTTATGATATATACAGGAATTAGAAGGAAATAAATCCGATTATATGATAATTATAATAAAAACTAGATGTTGGTAGGTCGGTATTAGTCAAATCACCCTCACTCTCACCCTTCCATTTCTGTTGAATATCCTCACGCCAGAGAAAGAAAGGTCAATAGAGTGCTGGACTGCAGACGCACCCGCACTTCGTTGTCCATGCAGTCGCTCATATCTCATATCATATGCTTGCGTCTCAAACCCACTCAGCAATGTGTTTCTCCTTATTATATGTGGTTTTCAATTTAGTAGTGGTATTAATTAATTAATGTTTAAATAGTAACTCAACTTAGCTAGGCTTTTCCGTGCATGCATGCATTCATGCAATGGCAAATTGAATAAAGATAAATCGCTGTGCGCCATGCCCCATGCCCAAAATCGGTTGGCCCGTCTAAATCATGCTCTTACATCTTTTATACTCTAGCTAGCTAAGTACAGTTAAATTCATTTCTTTTATTTATTTATATAAAAGAAATTGGTGGGATTTATTTGTTTCTTTGTTTCTCTTTTTCCGCACCATCTTTGCCCCCCTCCAATTTATCTCTCACGTCAGCATCATCAGACTGTATCAGTTCAGTGTATCACTTATCAAATTCCGGATCATGGGTCCTGCAGAAACGGACGGCTCCGATGAATCACGGGAGGCCCCACCTCACCTCACTCACTGTATCAGAAAACTAAAGCCTTAACATGTCCACTCCACTACCTACCATCGAGCTGGGAGGTAAATAAATAAATTATTTCAACAAAATAAATATAAATATCGATGTTGTTTTTTTATATAAAAACATAACTGAAGCGTGAGTGGTTGAGGAATCGCTATCAACGCATATCTCCTTGCCCAAAAGCAAATCCCTGAAAAACTATAACAAATTCAACAAAATTATATATAAATAAAAAAAAAGAAAGAAAAAACCTCTCAATTTTAAACAGTTCAGAAAGATTTTCATAATTGGAGTGAGTGACGTGAAGCAATGCAAGGAATGGCACGTGAACACACCAGAAGCCATGAGCGCATGTGGAGAGGAGAAGATTCAGCTCATTTTTTTATTCTACACTCACCAAGTTTGTTATCTTCTTTTTTTTCCTTTCATTCTTTTCTCTGAATTTAAAAATATATAATAAAAAAGGAAAAATAAAAATGGGCAACAGATAGATATAGCTAATGTCTTGAGCCTAAGGAGTGAGAAAGGAACATGGATCCACCCCATTCCATTGGATTTGGGGGCACACAGCACACTCCGCACAACTAAATGCTAATAGAAGGCATGTGATTCAGCTTAAACCCTCTTGTCTTTGCCAAATATTAAAGCTGTGTATATGGTTTTAGTGGGACCTCCCCATGTCCCTTCATCACCAATATTCTTCAATACCAGACGCTCCTAATCTATATCATATCATATATAGTATATGATATATGTGATTTTCAACCGTTGATGCATTATAAATTCTACCAGTACCAACGGTTGCTCATGTGTAAACGACTATATTCATATATAATATATATGAGTGATTTTCGACCCTTGTTGATGTAATGTTATAACTCTCATGCGCGCAACAGTTGCTCATGTGTAGACTATTCTTAGTAAAATCCTATATCAGAATTCAAACATCATACTGATCCCCTAACAGAAAAAGGCTGCGGGTGATTTCTTCATCCAAAGCTCCACTTGACAACTTCACACACCTCTCCACCATTCTGTGAAATTAAATAAACAGCCGCCTCAGATATACCTTACCTCCATATCTCCATCTCCATGCATGTAATCTACTGTTTTATTAATAGCTAGCAAGCAAGCAAACTACTTGAGAAGTGTTTTCTTAGTTGCTGATGAAGATTACCAATGAAAAGTTGGGGTTGTATGATTGCATCCATGAATAGGTAGCAAAAATCATATCATGTATGATGTATGCTAAGAAGAAGCCAATAAGCGATATTTAATCACTTGAATGACGTGTGATCGGACAATTGTCAAGCAATTTGTGTGCGTGTTGAATATTTATGGCCAACGTAACAAGTTTTGGATTAACGGGACCGTATGGTTGGGCTTGGGATACTTTAGTCTTTTCATGGGGTCCCCTGTTTCTCTTTGATTACATTTTTATGCTAGAGCCAGAGAGCTTCATAGTTTCTTCTGTTAACTGGGAAAAAGAATGAAGCTGATCAATTATAGAAACGTACTAATAGTCAAACACATGTAGCAAAGCTAGCTAAAACTAGGTAAACCATTCGTTCTTGTAGGGGTAGCCCCTACTCTGCTCTGTGCCCTTTTTCTCTTTTTTGCCTTTTGAGATAATGCATAAAAGAGCAAATGTTGCTGCATTTTTTCCCATATTAACTTTGTCACAGAGGTCCTTTCACCAAATGATGTGATTTGATAACACCTCCTTAAGGCTTTTAGGCTTCAAGTTGACAAATTATACAATGCAGCAGCCCCCACACCAAAAATGTCCAGCAAGTTCATGATTTATTTTCTTGTTCATTTCAAGTTTTATCCAATGAGAAGAAAAAAAAAAGAGACAAGGGCTGGATGATTTTGGATCTGTGTTCTGCAAAATCATGAATACCTATCTGTTACAGTAATTATAATATATTGTTTGAATTGAAGAGGTGTATTGTATATATACACTGTGGAGGGATGATGACATGTGCCATTTGGGAATTGAGGTTGGTGTGACAGAAGAACAGAGGAGAGAGGAGCAGTGGGATATATAGATAGAGATGGAGAGATGGAGAGATGGACACAAACATATATGCATATGCATGGGTGGGTGCACAAGGACAAAAGAAGACCAGCTCTAGTAGGGTTAATGACAACAGCCTTTGCTTGGGCTTTTCAAACCCATCAGTTTTCTCTCTCTT